GATCAATGGATGCTCAGCAGTCCCCACAGGGCAACCTCAGTGCCGTGCTGGCCCCTAACCATGAGGTTGGGCATCTCTGCCTAGTGCTAACCACTCGTCTGCCGGTGACTCTCTCCACACACAGCCTGTCGCCTTCTGGAACCTGCCTCCAATTAACTACAAGGGTTCTCAGCCTTGATTCCAATTCTGGCTCTAAAACCTACCTGCTGTATAGTATAGGGCAAGTTATGTAGCATCTGTGAGCTTCCATTTCATTAATTGTAGAATGGGCATTCCCTCTAAGGACCCTTGTAAGGAGAAATGAGCCAGCATAAATAAAATACCTAGCAGAGAAAGTCATCATTTTTAATATAATATTTATTATTTGTAAACTGTGACGAGGTCGAATACAGAACAGCTCATGGGAATCTTGCCCGTCATAAGCAGTTTATGTTGAGTCTGAAGGTTCTTACCCAGGGCTTATAAGCCTTTGCAGGGCTTATGGTTATTACATATGATCCTGCCCCAAAGTCTCCATTTCCACCTTCAGGAGATCTGTTTACAAATCCTGCATCATTTTTTTTTGTGGAGGGAAGCTTTTCTCCTAAATAATTGGAAACGCAAACTCCCTGAAGAGCACGGCATCTCCAGAGTCCTGGGTCCCTTAGCCACAAAGTGTGGGGCTGGACAAGGTGACCCCTGGGCTTTCTTTCAGCTCTCGAGCTTTACCATTCTGAAATGCTAACCAGCATCTGCCGTAGAAAGCTAACTCCCTCATGGAGGCACCGATGCAAAGGTGCCTAAGAAGATCTGACAGGCGAGGACACCAGGATGACGGACCAGGATGACGGACCAGGATGACGGACCAGGATGATGGGCCAGGATGACGGACCAGGATGACGGACCAGGATGATGGGCCAGGAGCTTGCCAGAATTTGGACGAGGGATGTGGCGACTGTGAGCTGAATTCAGAGCTGCGAGCTCAGAAGTCGAGTGTGGGTGAGGACGGGGGTGGGACATTTTCTGAGCAGTGGGGCCAGGAGGCTGCATTTGGGTGCAAAGCTTACTGATATTAAATAGTTATCTTGTGTTTCAAGAACCTCAAGGACTACAATGCACAAAACAGGGATTAAGTGAACTCACTGATGATCTTTTCATATAAAAGAATACAAAACAGGAAGCCTGACCAGCAGGCACCAGGGAAGCTGGTAGGGTAAGCTGGGCTCTTCAGAGCTGGTTTATGAAGGTTAGATCATTTCCAACCAAGGAGTCAGACTGGAGCATGTCAGAGTCAAGGCATGGCACAGAGGAGAGGGAATTTCAATGCAGCAAGATGAAGGCCACCAACAAAAATTCCTTCACTCATTCACACATTCATTTACACGCACAAGCTGTCCCCATGCAACAGCATCTGGAGAAAGAAAGATTAACGCAGGCACGCAGGGCATGCGTACCTTGGATGAGAATGGTGGTTTTGGTGAGACAACGGAGGTGCTCCATGGAGCCAGATGAGTGCAGGAAGTAAAGAAGAACCTCAGGGAAGTGATGGGAGAAGCCCAGTAGCACTTTCTCAGCACATGCTCATTAAACACATTTCTGTGGTCAGCATGCTGCTGGATTTGGTGAGGGATAGAAAGCAAGGGTAGGAAACAGTTCTTGTCTCAAAGAACCTACTATATATAAGGGAAAACAACAGTTACACTTGCCAGAAAAACCAAATTGGGGATCAAATGAGATGTTATATAATTGAGTGCAAATTATGTGGCAAAGATCCTAAGTCTCATGGTACTCAAAAAGGGCCCATCACAGGTGGTGTGGTTTCTGAGAAAGTTTCTAGGAAGGGAAGCAGGCGCAGAGCCCACCTACCTGGATGAGAAGTGAGAAGTGGGCTCATGGGGAGGGGGGCGCACTGCCGAGAGCCGCTAGGGAGAGGGGTGGGGTGGGAGGGAAGGGGCAGAGAGAGGAGCGGTCTGGGTTTCTCATTGAAATCACATTATAACAAATAAATGCCCTGACATTTTTTTCAGAATATGTCACTGAACAAACACCTGTGTGATTTTTTTGTCAGCAGGAAAAAAATTGCATTTCATCATCACTCTTATTTTTGCCCATTTTGATGTTTCTCTACCTTTTTATCACACCCAGCTGTACAATAACCAATCAATTTTATTACTTGTGTTGAACTTTTTGTTCAACAGAAGGTAAAAAGGTAAGGCTCTTGGAAGAAAAGTATCAGTCAGGCTTACCTGTTCCCAACTTCCTTTATAAAAGTATTTTACTTTGATCCTTCATACAGACAATTTAATACTGATATTATTAGCATCAATACTGCCTTTGGCATTTAAATTTTCCGAAGGTTAACATATGTTAATAGAAGGTGAGTCTGGGATGTTAAGTACCCTTTCACAAACTCCATAATTAATCCATAAATAAATGCAACCCATAATAAAACCTCATACAGTTGGTAGGTTTTCAAGAGGCCAGGGAAGGAGATGTTAGGGTGTAGCAGTACTCATCCAAGACCACTGTGGAATATTTGTGATATACATAGTTCTTGACTGAATTTGAAGGGTAGAATACAAAGCATACTTCAAGCCTTCTTAGATTGGCTGTGCATTACTACGTTTTCTGTTGACAGTTAAAAACAATCCTTACAGAATGGTTTAAACATTAAAAAGAAAACCTCTTTATGGAACGAGAAGAATTCCTTCTTGAATTTTATCAGGATTACATCTGGACCAAGGATTACAGTTGGCCACTAGGGGGAGACTCATTCATGGATCCTATTGATTCAAGTTTGGAAAGACCAGCTGTCTTCAACTCTAGTTTTCCCGACCACTTTGGCAAAATAGAGGCTTCTTTCGAGGAGGAGGCAGGCACAAGTTTATTTGCAGCCTCAAAATTTTCTTTTTGAGACAGCCCAGAGTTAAAAAAGAATTTCCTAGCATCTGGTATGTGGGTGTCAGGGTCTTGGGAAGCCCCCAGGAACGGGTGGAACCAGGCATCATGGATGTCTGATCATGATCACTCATAGGGACCACAGGCTGGGTACAGGAGGGACCAGGAGCCATGAAAGGTTCAACAAGGAGGTCGGATTATACTGAGGCTGAGAGGAGAGACATTACATAAGAGCAAAGCATTCCCACAAAGGCAGCCAAGTTGCTCTGGAGATTCCTTTGCTGGCCTCCAGCTCTGTGTTTCTTTTCTATAGCAACTTAGGCAGTGGAAAGAAAAAAGTCAGCTGGAAACCCTAAATATATCCCATGCCCTCCCAACCCCCAAGACTGGCTTCCTCGGAAGAGAGGAGAAATATGGCTACTTAGGCTCAGTGATATAACCTGCTTTAATCAGATCGAGGTTTGGATTTCCAGTGGAACCACAAATGATAGTTCCTATTCTAAAAACCTGAGAAATGGGCTGCAGAAGCCTCAAGGGGGCTGGGGAAGACAGAGGGTGGACCCGTGTGCTTTTCCACCCAAGGAAACTCTGAATATGGAAAATCAGGCTTCTTTGTATAATCAGCATTTAGAACTTGACAAGGATTCCCATGGTTCCATATTTACTCTCTTCTCCACAACCTACAATGCCTTGATGGGATTGTTAAGAGACTTGAGATGCCAAGTGTGCATTCGAGGAAATCAGAAACCACAGTCTCACTTTGGGAAGAGTTTCCAATCCAATCTGAAACATCTAAACTATGACATAGCAAACAAAACCCTCCAAAGTTCGCAAAGGTACAAGGCAGCGGAGGCAGAGTGGCCACGGTCAAGAGGTGGAGACACACATCAGAATCTTAACCTTTTTTGGCCAAAAGATTTCAACACATCAGACTGGAATGCAACGGATGGCCTGGGTTCCAGGACTACTGCTCTGCAGAGCCTCTGAAGAGAGGACAAGGATTGTAGGAGGCATTATGGCACTGTACTGATGTTGCTAGCAGTAACAGTATGTCTCTTAAAAAGCAAAATGACGTTACAGTGAAGAGACAGATGAAAAGTGTAAAACCATGCAAAATGAGAAAAGTGCTTTCACAGAAGCCGTGGTGCGTGCTTACGGGTAGAGCACAACCCCGAGAAGGGACAGGAGCAGCACAAACTCTTGGCCTGCTTCCTCGGCTGTGTTATCTAAATGGGCTTGTCAAAGTCTAATTGGAAGAAGAAATCATGATTTCAAAAATACAAAAGAAAGAAATTTCCTATAACCTCAGATGTCACATAAAATGCATTCATTGACAAACAGCTTAAAGATTATCCCTATTTATTTTGTATAACAGATTATTCTAATACTAAAATTTTAATTAAAAAAGTCTCTGACACATCTGAGGATGCCCATGAACTCCGTGCAAAACCTGGCTCAGAGAGGCCTCTCCCATTTCAACTCATCTCCAATGAACGAAATGAAACACTGACTACCTTTTGGGAATTCTATCCCATTGCTGGCTTTCTTAGGATGCTCTCATTGAGCTGGGCTCAGTCAGCCAGGATGAGTCTTGAGACTCAAGAAGACACTTAGATTTAATTCTTATATCCAGAACTACCATTTAAACCATAAGTGCTTATAATGTTTGCCTTAAATTAAAACACTAACGAAAGATAATTTTACATTTGCTATTTTAATATGTCCTGAAATTTTATATCTGGAAAGTGGATATAAAAGATATAGTTGGTTTAAATTTTAATTCCCCCGTACACTAAAAGCCTCCTCTTATACTTGTACTTGTGGTAATAAATACGCTGGAAACTTAAAGGGGATGATTAAAAATGTTGACAGAAACAAACAGACATAAATACAATTTTATGATGTGACATCCAACATCTCAAATAATTTCCAAATTAGTGTCTTGGTTGTGCATGAGCTGCCTCAGTTTATAGTCTGGACTGTTGACATGAAGGGTGCATGTTTCTTTACTGGGATCTGTATCTCTGGAAATGGTAAATCAACAAGCTCCCTGTGTTAAGAAAGAAATCAGTTTTCATTCAATTAGCACAGTTTTAAAGAAGTTCCACATTTCAAGTACCTACCAAAAGCTGTCCAGCAAAGCAGACGAAAAGGATAAAGGCAAGCGAGAGAAATGCAGCTCCAAAGGAAATCCCGAGAACGGACGTTCTACCAGGAAACAAAAAGCAACAGGTTAGTGTAGAGTAGTTTCTCTTATTCTGGAAAGCCATCAGTAATATTTTTGGCTTAATATATTATGGACTTCATCCTCACTAATTTTTTGAGAAATGAAAACAGAGCTAAAACAAACCAAAAATATGTCCATAGAAAACTCTGTCTACAGTTGTGTCTGATCAACTTGTTATGTTATGACTCATTAAAATTGGCCTATAAGCATCAGTAAGAACTAATTTTAAAGGAAAACAATCTTTTTATGACTCACCTATGCAACTAGCACTTTCATGCCCGCACTTGGCCGTCTCCATCTCAGTGCCCTCTTCCCTGCCATTGACGTCATTTGATGCCCTGGAAGACCTCGTGCCCCATCCTTACTCCTGTTCACTTAGGAAACACTGAGTCCTTACTCTCCCCAGTATAAGCCAATCAGATTCAACTTCCTTCAAAACTGATGCAGCCAAATATTTACTGACATTCCCTGAAGGTTTCACTTGCCATGGCCTGTATATGCTTGCATGCGCCAATGAACGTGCAAGCTGCCTGTGACCACATGAAACGTGCCTGCTGAGATACAGATTCTGAAAATGTCGGGTTACAGGTGAATAAAAGTATTTATAAGAATTGTATGCATGTCTGAGAGGTCCTTTAGACAATTAGAAAATTCAAAGCCTCTTAAAATTACATTTAATCCAAGGATAGAAGTGTTCAGGGGTATCAAAAGAGCTGAACCACAATGAGTAATCACAGATAAAATTCAAATGAAACATCTGAGGAGAAGTTAGGTGGTGTCTGAGACCACACTGGAACCTGGTGCCAATGAAGTTGGCTAGCGACACTGAAGAGACAGAAGAAATAGTACTGTGAAGAGGAGCAACACCCCAAATGTCGACACATCGAATGGAAGACTCAGATGCAAGTCAGCAACCAGCAACCCACTTACCCATGAGTGCATGGCTATGAACCCCACAGGGAGGGAAAGGAAGCGGGTGATCAGTGAACTGAGTAAACCTCCTAATGCCATCATCATGGGAAGGTTCCACTTGGCTCACACTCTCAGATACCTACTCTATTACAAGAGATGATTACACACCAAGCAAGTTCTACAAAAGCTGGACTTCAAACCAATGCTTGAGCCTGACCCAGTGATGTACTGGGCACTGAGTTATTTCCTGGACACAGTTCAGGGTGCTTTCAAATACTTGGCCTGATAACGGCATTTGTTCACATTTTATGAGTAAGAAGAAGTCTCTGCTAGGAGGGTGTATATACTCCAAATACACTTACTTGGACTGGTAACTAGTCTTATGTGCTGGGTACGTGCTGGGCTGTAATCACACAAGACGAGTAAGATGTCGTTCCCCTTTGGAGCTGCTTACAATCTAGCAGAGGTAAGCACCGTATGTCTCCTCACCTTCCCTATCTAGAACACCCTTCTTTCAGACATCACTTTAGTCCTTAGTCCCTGGTCAGAAGCCACAGGTCTCAGCACCTCTACAACACATAATCTCAGAGCCTCAGGCAGTGTGTGTGTGGGGGGAGTGAGAGGCAGTCCACACCTCAGAGGTGTGGAAGGTTCTTGTTCTTATTCCTGTGATTGAAGAGGAACACACTCATTTGCTGGACGTTCGTTCACCATCTTTCTCATCCATTTTTACAAGAAAGCTCTGATGGGTTTTCTTGGACTCTGTGATCTCTTGGTTCCTTTTTGGCGTCAAGGTAATGACGGCCTCATAAAGTTGAGTTCAGAAACATTACATCTTTTTCTTAGGTCTGAAACTTTAAATAACCTGATCTCCTACTGAAGGTTTGGTAAATCTCAACTATAAAACCATCTGATGATAGTGGTGGTGATGCTGATGATGGTAACAGTGATGCTGATGGTGATGGTGATGATGGTAATGGCAATGTATGATGACAGAATATTTATTGTGTCAAAAGCTGTTCTAAAGGCTTTATATGTATAGTTCACTTAATCCCATAATAATCCTGGATGGTAGTTACTTCTATTACCTCATTTTACCAAAAAGAAACTGAGGCCCAGAGAAGTTGGGAAAGTTGCCTAAAGTTATCCTTTATTAAGTGTTGTGGTAGGGATTTATGTCCATGCCAATGTACTCCTGACACAGGTTTTGCTTTTAGGAGCAGACATGTCACATTTCTGCCATGTTTACTGTTCTATTTCCTGAGTCAATTTTGATAATTTTCTTGGAAAATTATCCATTTCATTTAGATTTTCAAATGTAAAACATTTTACATAATATTCTCTTGTAATTTTAAAAGTCTCCATATTTAAAGGAATGTCCTTAATGTTATTTTTCTTTTTCTCTCTAGATTAGACTTTTGAAGTTTTGCATATTTGTTGATCTTTTCAAAGAATGAGCTTTCAGTTTATTATTAAGGTCTACGCTTTCTGATAGTTTTCTATATGATTAGTTTCTGATTTAACTTTTCAAAATCCCTTCCTCCTTCTTTATTTAAACTTATATTGTTCTTTTTCTTGATTGTTATTTATTAAAAATCTTTTGTATTGTCTAACAAATGCATTTAAGGACATAAATATTCCTATAATTACTGGTTTAGCCAAATCCTGCAGCTTTTGATTTATAGCTACCCATTGCCATTCTTTTCTAAGAAGCCTATAATTTCAATTTCTATTTCCTTTGAATACAAGAGTAATTCAGAAGTCTAATTTATAAATTCCACAAGGAGATTATTTTTGGTCTAGCCTTGTTGTTTCTAATGTCATTAGATTTGATCAGAGATTGCAGTTTCTATTATTTCTACTCTGACACTTTATTTTTCTTCTGGGGTGTGATAATATGTTCTACTTCTATTATGTCTAATGGATTTCTGAAATGATATGCATTTTCTTTTTGCTGGAACCAAAGCATGTTCTCTAAATATCTATTGTCAGAGCCTGATGAGCTAGTCCAATCCTCAATGGGCTGACTTACTGGCTCACTTTGGCCTGTCGATTTTAGAATGTATTAACGTTTCCAACTAGGATTGTAGGTTTGTCAATATATCTGAACATTTTAATAGTTTCTCTTTATTTATTTCAAAGAGATGCTGGAGTACATAAAGATTAATGATTGTTAAATTTTCTTGGTGACTGTACTGCAATATGTCTTTCTTTTTTTTATGCTGAATGCCTTTCACTTGAACTCTATATTGTCAGAAATTTTATATTATTGAAGCTTTCTTTTCTTCTATAAGCTGTTTCCTGGAGTAGCTATTTTCCATCCTTCCTTTCTCTGTCTTTTAATTTTAACTAGATCTCCTATGCGTAGGACAGAAGTGGCCTTTGGATCATAGCCTCAATCTTTGAGCCTCTTTTCATAAATAGGAAATTTTTACTCATTGACAATTATGAAATTTGTTGATATTTGCCCAATTCCTTACATTTTATTTTCTTAAACTGTTTGCTAGAATTTACATAGAAATTACCTGGCTGTCAAGTTTTCTTTGTTGGAAGATTTAAAAAAAAATTTAATAAATTTAACAGATTAAAATTTTCTATTCCATTGTGTGTCAGTTTTGGTAAGTTGTCTTTTCAATGAACTTTCCCATTTTATCTAAATTGTAAATCTTCTTGGCCTCGAGTAATTTATAATATTCCACATTTACGCTGTTCACACCTTTAGGATCTGTACTGGATCCCCTTTTATTCCTTATATTATTAGTTTAGGTGCTTTGTGATTCTCTCTCTCTTTTTCTTTCGTGATCAGGCTTGCTAGTGGTGTAGGAATTTTTAAACTTTTTCAAAGAACCAATTTTCGGCTTTATCATTTTTCTATTTTATTGATTCTCCTTCCTTCTTTGGTATTGGTTTGCTTATCTTTTGTATTTTTCTAGCTTCCTACATTGGAAACATAGACAACTGATTTTAATCCTTTCTTTTTTTCTAATTTAAGCATTTTAAAGCTACAAATTCCTCTCTAAATTACTGCTGTAAGGTACATCCGACACATTTTGATATTCAAAACATTTGTAATTTCTCTTGTGATTTCTTATTTGACTTGTAGTTTATTCAAAAGCATATCGTCCAACATTGAAATATTTGGAGATATTTTTAGATATTCTATTGTTTTCGATTTCTAATTTGATGTTGGTGTGGTTAGGTATCGAACGGTAATATTTTTACCTTTCCAAATTTATCTCAATCAAAATTTGTTGTGATGCTCTTATGGCCTAGTCTGTGTTATGTCATGGTCAATGTTCCACATGCAGTTTAAAAAAACACGTATTTTACAACTGGTTTTAGTTCTACGAACGTCAGTTAGTTCTAGGAAACTGATAATCTTGCTCAGATTTTCTACATCCTTATTTATATAGTAAGGGATGTTTAAAAAAGGGTATTAAAAATCTAATTATGATTATAGATTTGCCTAATTCTCTCTTTGGTTTTGTGAGTTTTTTTTCTTTCCCGTATTTTATAGCTCTGTTTTTGGTATATGCACATTTTATGATTTTATGCTTCCTGGTAAATTGACCCTTTCACCACTATTCAATGTCTCTCTTTCCTTCTGTTAATACTCTTTCCTTCATGTCTGCTTTGTCTGATATTAACATATGCTCAGTAGCCTTCTCATGTTTACTATTTGTATGCTATGTGTGTTCCATTCTTTTAATTTCAACCTAACTTCTGCTGTATTTAAATGCATCTCTTCATCATGCTTTTATCTGGAGTGTGTAATCTTTTCACATTTAATAATATGTTTTATTTTAATCCTACCATCTTATTACCTGTTGTTTATTTGTCCCTCCGCTTTTGTTGGCATGATGTGGTCCATTACATTTCCTGATATTATTTATTTTAAACCTACCGTTTACTATTTGTTTTCTATTTGTCTCATGTCTTTTTGTTTCTCTATTCCTCCTTTATTGCAATTTTTCTTTAATCTAAAATTTTCATAGTATTTTTTTATTTCCTCAATTGGCTTTTTAGCTATCCCTCCTTGTATCTTTTAGTAATTGCTCAAGAACTAAAA